AAGAAAAACTTAAACAGAAGATATTAGCACAGACAATTTATTGCCATGAGGAAACTTTAAACATTAATTTGTGCCCTGACAATTGGCCCCGAAGTCAAGACAGTGAAAAACATTGCCATGTCATGTTTGAAACTTTAAGTAAAACAGGTTAAAATAACAACTACATATGAACCTTGTGTACTTCTACAAAAGAAGGAAAAAACAGTGAAAAACATTGCCATGTCATGTTTGAAACTTTAAGTAAAATAGGTTAAAATAACAACTACATATGAACCTTGTGTACTTCTACAAAAGAAGGAAAAAAAAAAAAAAAAACTCCTGTAAGAAACTTTTTCTCGAGTTTCTTTGAAGAGTCACTTAGTTTGATACTTGAACCAGCTTAATTATGTTAATAATGAGGATTAAAAAAAAAACCTCCCTTAGGAAACCTTTTTCCAAATTTTTTAGTATTACCATTGTTCACAAAAAGTTAGTGGAAAATATAAATCATTTAGAAGTTGTGAAGCATTAGCTAAATGAAATCTTAGTTCAGGATGGGCTTTATATTTAAAACCTGATATATATACTTATCCTGTTTCAGTTCTGTTGTGGATTTTCTTATATTTAGGGGTGTTGACAATTATAATTTTGGTCATTGGCGGAGGTTGTTATGGAAATTTGGATTAATTTTACTGACCGGTAGCTTCTTCTCTTCCTGTTATATTTTTGGATTGGGGATTTTAAATGTTTGATAGTGGTACTGTTGACTCTTGGTTCAGCATTTGAAAAATGGGATTCTTAGTACCTCAAAGAAGAAAGCTTTGTGATTGAAATACAAATGGTGAAAGTATGTTAGTTTAGCTACTAGGTTAATGATGCCTGGAATTGTATTTATGTAGTGTATGCATCACTTACAATAGATAAATGTGAGGGTGCACCAAGTGCTATTAGATAATTTTGATAATCTACTCACCAACAGGTCCCATTTATTTCTTCTGATTGATTTCTTTAGTTTATTAGAATGTGCCTCATTGATTCTACTAACCCTTGTTGCTTAGGCCCCAGAATTACACTCAATGATCCACAAGCATGGAGGGCCTGGATTTGCTGGACCTTCTGCCTCATCCACTTCAACGAAGGTGATCATCTTTAACTTCAATTGTCCTTTGCCTTTTTATTTTCTTTTTGTTTCTTTTTAGAAACCTGAGCTTTTGTAGTTGTAGTTGTAGTTCTTCAGTACTTCCATGCATTTGCTAGATTAGATTGGTCATTTATCATCTTAATTTAGGATCTTTAGCATTAGTGAAGTGATGTTATGATTGTAGGATTGCTCTTTGTTATTGACATTCCTTCATATATGCTTCTTTAGCTAGCATGCTTTGGTTTTTCTTATTTGTTTTTAATGTATTTTGATTACTTTCTGCATGCTTCAAATTCTTTGTTTGTTCTTGTCATTCTCTCTGTCTTTACCTTCCTTTGCAGACTTCTAAGAAGAAGAAAAGCAGTGATCTCAAATAGGACGTAGTGGGTATTGAAGGCACAATCAGCCATCGTAATCAAGGAAATGAAGGAGAAAAGCAATAGGTGGAAATCAAGGAAATTATTACCAAAGAAAGAGCACAAGTCAACAACGGTCGAGAAGCCAGCAACAATTGAGAGCAAGTCAGAAGAGCAATCCAAGGAAATAATACAAAGAAAGAATAGGAAAGGATCTCAAAGCTAATCAAAATATGACCGTTGTACATAAATGCATTCTTTATATTGGTAATCTTGACTTAATGTCAATAATTCTTGAAATCATCTTATATGTAATCTGTAAATAATATAAATAGTGAAAAATCCTCTTTCTCTCCTCACCTTAAGAAAGACTTCATATCCTGGTGCCTAAAACGCTTTTACTGGGATGGGTGATATCCTAGTTGTAGGGATTGTTGCATGGGTAGGATTTGCAAAATCTCATGTGCCACCTCCTCCACCACCTAGATAAGTGGAGAATTTAGTGCATCTCGTGCATTTTGGAGATACAAACAGTCTATAGACTCTGTAGGTGATGATTGTAGAAAACTGAAAAATTTGTCATTCGCCATGTGTTGGTTTTTTTTTTTTTTATCATTATAATTATTATTATTTTCCTTCCCTATGCCAAAGGAGATCAATAAGTTACAGTTATAGTTTCATATGAAACAATGATTCTTTATTTTGGATGTTGTTAAGCAACTTTCTTCTAGACTAGATACATTGCAATAATGTGGCATTATAGAAAATTCACCCAGAATCAATTTGATTCCAGGTGTTCTCAAGATAATTGACTAATTGTATCTGAGTCTATATAGACAGACGTCATGCAGATTGATGGTGTTAATTTGTTGAATCGAAGCTATATATCTGCAGATTTCTTGCGAGAGATGTTGTTCATATTTCCTTTGTTGGATAACTTGGTTAAAGTGAATGTGTGTAGTTAGTGTTACAGAAAGAATAATTGTGAGTGGATAATGGCATATGCTCTTTCATATATATACTGCTACGCTATCTCCTGTGTCAGGTGGCATGTTTAAGGGGCGTTGCGTTGGGTGATGGGCTGAATGGCAGATTGCCTGTTGGGAAAATGTTGTCAAATGAAAATATGAAAGTTAATCCCGAAAGGCATTCTTCTCTCTATTGATAAAATTCGTAAAATTTTTTTATAGGGTGGGGGGGGAGATGAGAGGAAGATTAATTGGGTTAAGTGGGAGAAGATATGTAAAAAAAAAGAGGGAGGGCTGGGAGTGAGGGATTTGCAGAAGTTTAATTTGGCTTTGATGGGACAATGGTGGGGATGGTTGGCAAAAAACAATGAGGGTTTGTGGAAGAAAGTAATTATGGAAAGATATGGCGATGGAGGGAACCATTGGTTAGATTGGGTTAAAGAAAATACAGGAGTAGGCTCTATTTGGTGGAGAGATGTGTGCCGTCTTGATTCTTTGCATGGAGAGAGTGGAGGGTGGCTGTTAGAGAGTTTTAGAATAAAAATGGGGGAAGGAAAAAGAGTTAGGTTCTGGTGGGATCATTGGTGTGGGGAAGGGTGCCTTGCTAATAGGTTTCCAAGATTGTGTTTATTGTCAACAGGTAAAGAGAATAAGTGCTACGAAATGGGCAATGCTAGCAATGGCTCATGGAAATGGAATCTAAACTAGAGAAGGAACTTATATGAGTGGGAAGCCGACGATGCCGTGGAACTCCAAAAGAGGATAGAAAACGTGAAGATATCAAAAAGTGACCTTGACAGATGGGAATGGATTCATGACAAGGGAGGCCAGTATTCAACCAAAATTGCATATTCTCTTCTAACAAGGGAGCGGGTGGAATCGAATGAAGAGAAGACATACAAAAGAATATGGAATCCCATCCTCCCTAGTAAAATTTCAGCTTTCAATTGGCAATTAGTACTGGATAAAATTCCAACCAAAGCTAATTTGCTAAGAAGAGGGATCATTAAGGACATGATTGAAACTAAGTGTGCCCTTTGTAATGAAGAAGAAGAGGATTCTACTCATTTGTTCTTAAATTGCAAAATTGCAAGGTGGGTCGAGAAGGCTTGCTCTAAGTGGTGGGGGTCAAATATGATGTTGAACAGAGACTGTTGAAATGCTTTTCAACTCCTCGGGATGAATACAAAAGGATCAAAAATCAAAGAAGGCATGGATTGCATCTGGATAACAGCTGTTTGGTCCATTTGGATTGCTAGAAACCAGAAAATCTTCCATGACAAAGAGGTAAATCCTGAAACACTCCTAGAACTTATCCAAACGAGATCTTTTTGGTGGATCAAAGCAAGAAAAGATTGGGCTACTGTTACTCTTTCAGATTAGTTTATTGATCCAGTAGCATGTTTTAAATCCTGTTATAGTGAGCGGAAGGGAGCCTAATTGGTGGGTTATTTCTAATGGTTTTGTTATGTATAAGTAAGAGGTGTTAAATTAAATGGATTTGAGTAGCCTTTGTACTCTATATTTTCAATAAAATTATTTGCCGTTCAAAAAAAAAAAATGAAAATATGAAAGTGCTCATTCTGGAAAGATTTTTTTTTTTTTAAGAAAAAATTAAAATTTATTTTAAGGTTTTTTTTTAATATGCACAATTTACTAGTGCAATTATTGCATATTTTTAATAGCAATATTAAAAAATAAAAATTAATTTTTATTTAAATAATTGTCAAATTAAAATGATCTATGGCATTAAGATGATGAATTACCTTGGATGGTTGGAGAGGAAGATGATGGATCAGCTCTACATGTAGACGATCTTATCCCTTCAGCAACTTAAACCCTTTGCTTCTGGAGAGACTTGCAGCACTTTTAGTCCTTTTGCCCTCAAGGGTGGGTCATCAGTTCTGCTTGCATTTCTGTTTTAGTTCCTCATTGAAGACTCGTCAACTATACAAAAATATTAACAGAAACATGCATCTTTTGTAAATGGTAGATCAAGAAATTGTACAGACCTTTTCCTAGTTCAAAATTTTAACCGTGTGGTGTAAAAATCTACAAAAATTCTCTTTGTTTTCTCCCCCTTATTCTGCTGGTTCCACCTCACTGTCTACCCAAATCAGACCTCTTTCTTTGACTTATAAGGATGCAGAAACATGGGCTAAATTTTGGGCTTTATATGGGCTAGTCTATCAACCAAAATGATCATTTTTTTTCTTACAAGGAATAGGCCTAATCCAACAGCTTTTGGGCAATTTTTAGTTTTTCTCAGATGGGTTTGAGGTTACTTTTATAGTAATACGTTGGCTTGGGTTGGGTAATGAATGAGAAAGGTATGTTGGGTTTGTTTTAGTCGCAAAATAAGGCTTTATATGGGATAAATGAAATATAGTTTAGATTGAATATTAAAAATATAATTTATTTAATAAATTTATTAAAATATCTTAAATAAAATAAAATAAAAATAATTTTATTAAA